CAGCTAAAGCAGACCACACTGTAGTGAGAAACCACCAGCTTCACAACACAGTTCACTGGAGTCAACAAGAGAAATGTATAGTTTGAAGTTCAGAGTGGGAAAAAAGAGACAGACGCACAACCACACAGAACTGTTTGTGTCTGTAAACAGATTTACCACAGGGCAACACATATTCAGACTACAGTCTGAAACTGAATTAAAAGAGAAACATTTTTCAAAACAAATCTCCTGCTTCCTCCCACCGTCTAAAGACATGCAGACTAGGGTAAATGGTGACCCTAATTTGTCATTAGGTGTGAGGATGACTGGTTGTTTGTCTATGTGTGGCCCTGCGATGGATTGGTGACCTGTCCGGGGCTCCAGCCCCCCGCAACAGATGGATCGATGGACCCATCTGATCCAGGGATAGAACTCTAAATGACAGTAACTAGTAATCTATAATGTCTTACATTTTGGCAGTAACTTGCCCAACACTGAGCACATGACTCGACTGTGTAGGTAAGTACTTACACACTTTCTTTCAACATTGAGTGGTTACAAGCATGGCTGTATGAGGTCACCGAGGTCTGGACATCTGTAATTATATGTATGTATCTATAAATAAAATCATTCAAATAAAAAACATTGATAAGACGATCAACTTAAATGAAGACCACGCGGGCGCAGCTGATTACATGTCTCTACCATCATTTCAACTTGAAAGACTCAATTCCACCTGGGGAAACACAATAAGCACATGCAAACACAATAAGCACATGATAACCTTGTGTGTGCAATAACTGAGAGCACTACTGTTTACGGGAAGAGCTTTGGGCAAAACGTTTTGTGCATTTCCGGGTTCGGGAAATAGGGTGAAGTGTCTCCCCATTAAAAGAGATGCGGTGAGCATTTGCGTACGGGGCACAGAAGCATAACTTATTATATTTAAATTGACACACCGACTGGATCAATCAGAATCTTATTTAATCTAATTAAATGTTGATTAATGTTATGTGTTCTTCTCTACATCCAAAAGTTCTCTCACACAGTCCTGTTCATACAGTGAAACTGTTTGGAGTAAAGGAGCCATTTGATTATGCATCCATATGTGACACGGATGCATGATCACATCACAGCATCTAAATCATTTCTGAAGATAAAAGTAGAATTCTGTTTCCTCTGCAGAGATGGAAACCTTTAAAATGACTGACAGCAGCCTCTCTAATCATGAAAGTAAACCGTTCATCAACACAATTAAGAAATCACCTGGAAAGTTAAAAGGACCGGTGAAGGAGTGGAGTTTGCATGTTCTCCCTGTGTCCGCGTGGGTTCTCTACGGGTGCTCCGGCTTCCTCCCACCATCCAAAGACATGCAGACTAGGTTAATTGGTGTCTCTAAATTGCCCTTAGGTGTGAATGTGAGCATAAGTGGTTGTCTGTCTATGTGTGGCCCTGCGATGGACTGGCGACCTGTCCAGGGTGTACCCCGCCTTTCGCCCAATGCCAGCTGGGATTGGCTCCAGCCCCCCGTGACCCTGTACACAGGATAAACGGTTGACGATGGATGGATGGATAATTTAGCTGACGCTTTTATCCAAAGGGACTTACAATGCCTTTATATGTCAGAGGTTGCACACCTCTGGAGCAACTAGGGGTTAAGTGTCAAGCCGATCCGCACATCACACCAATGTAGCTCAAGCTCAAATTGCCATGGCAACATGTCAGGATGTCACACAAAAAATAAAAGTACTGACCTTGTAAAAGTAAATTGCAATTGTCAAAATGTAGATGTAAAGACTAACAAACATGTAAAATGTTGGTGTCACATAAATGTGATCATGAAGAAAATGTAACACTACATAAAAAAGAATACTAGTACAACTTTGAACAGGATATAATAATGTATTACATATACTTTCTTATTTAGATTGAATAGACAAATCAATACTACTGTTTCAGTAAAACACATAACATTATAAGAGTCCTGACATTTTGCAGTGCAATTTATGAGGAATCCTGATGGACATCTGACTTTTTTGAAAGAAAAATGTGACTGCAGCACATGGCTGTGAAGAAAATGTGAAACACAATTTGTCTCTTTTTGTTGTTATTGTCTGAGTCTGTGTCTAACCTTTAGGTTCCCCTTCGAGGGAACTCGAACTGCATCGGTTACGACACTATGGGAACGCCTCTAGGCGTAGCAGGTCTGAACGTGCATGAAATCACTCCAATCCTATTGGTTTGTTGCTAGAACGGTAAGGTGTGACAGAATAACCAGAAGAGTATAAAGCACACCTGTACACACTCATCATTAGCTTTTTTCTATTCAGCAGGCGCTCTGTATGTTGCATGTCCGGCAACCAGAAGTACAGAAGGCCTTACCCTCGGTACATCACGGATGGAGATTCTCATGAGATGTGTGTCTCATGTTTGGGGATGGAGCACACCCGGGCAGCTCTCGAGGGGGCTGCCTGCGGCCATTGCGAAGCCCTTTCCGAGGATGGGGCTGGGTTCTTCACCCTTGCCCCGCTGTATGGCGACTGTGGGTCTGGCCCCTGAGGGGGCACAGTACCTAGAGGCGGGTCTAACAGCCAGAGCAGTCGAGACCCTCCTCAGCTCCAGGGCCCCGTCCACACGGAGGATGTACGGCCTGAAGTGGAGTGTTTTCTCCACTTGGTGTAGGGAGAGGTCGGTGGACCCTGTTACCTGCCCGGTGGTTCAGGTACTTGAGTTCCTCCAGGACCGGTTCTCTGCTGGTCTTTCCCCTTCCACCCTCAAGGTGTACGTGGCAGCTATTCATCTTTCCACGCCCCTCTGAGGGAGGGGTCTTTGGGGAAACTTCCCTTGGTTGTACGTTTCCTCCGTGGTGCCCGGAGGATGAGACCTGCGACTCGGTCCAAGGTTCCCACTTGGGATCTGGCGGTGGTACTCAGGGCGTTGGCTGAGGTCCCCTTCGAACCCCTGGAGTCAGCTGAGGCTAAGCACTTGACCCTCAAGATGGCCTTTCTCCTCGCTATCACCTCTCTGAGGAGGGTGGGGGATCTCCAAGTGCTTTCGGTTTCCCCACAAAGCCTGGAGTTTGCCCCGGGGAATATTAGGGCTATCCTGCACCCTCGTCCAGGATACATCCCTAAAGTACCTTCTTGTGCGGCAGGGTCCACAGTGCTGCAGGCATTTCGTCCTCCGCCATCACATGAGGTGGAGGATGAAATGCCTGGGAGACTTCATCTGCTCTGCCCTGTCAGAGCACTGAGTATTTACACTCTGAGGTCCTCCCGTTGGAGGAAGGCTGACCAGCTGCTAGTGTGTTTCAGGTCTCCCAGGGCTGGGCTCCCTGCATCCAAACATACTATTAGCAACTGGATTGTTCAGACTATTTCCCTGGCCTATCAGGTGCGCGGTTTGCCTTCACCTGTGGCTGTGAGGGTTCATTCTACCAGAGGCATGGCGGCCTCTCGAGCCCTCCTTTCCGGGGCCTCTTTGCAGGATGTTTGTTTAGCGGCTGGCTGGGCCACTCCGCACACATTCATTCGGTTTTACAGTCTTCGGCACCTGGCACACGTGCGCTCTCCTCTTAGTCGTGCCACTTTATTGCACACTGGGGCAGGCGGGGTTTTCGGCACGGTTTAGTGGATATCTCGTTCCCATAGTGTCGTAACTGACGCAGTTCGAGTTCCCTCGAAGGGGACGAGACACTGCGTCGGCCCGCCGCACCTCTCTCCCTGCCTGAAGAACCTGCTTCATAGTTTAAGCTAATGATGAGTGTGTACAGGTGTGCTTTATACTCCGGTTATTCCGTCACACCTTACCGTTCTAGCAACAAACCAATAGGATTGGAGTGATTTCATGCACGTTCAGACCTGCTACATCTAGAGGCGTTCCCATAGTGTCGTAACTGACGCAGTCTCGTTCCTCTTCTCGGGGAACCAGCGTTACATATGTAACCCGAGACGTTTCCCGTGGATGCATTGTTTCACCAGTAGAACCAGTAGAAATAGAACAAAGAAAGAACAACAAACCACAGCATGAAGGGAAAGGATGAATCGGGGGAGAGGTGGGTTGATGGAGGACTTGTAGTGGTGTCACTAAAATGAACAAGAAATTATAATTATATGCACAGAAAAAAATGGATAATTCATTCAACAACATGCTAACAGAAAGACACAGAATTGAATTTATAATCTCTGCCAGCCTTAAGGAGAAAGAGTTATAAAGATTACATATTTCGTATACGCTGACAAATTTCACTTTTGTTTCTTGGCAGATTGCAAAGTTAGAATTGTTGCCACATCATGAATCATCTCTGCTGTCCCGAAACCTACCGAACCTCCATCCCCTTAAGATCCAATCCTATGTGTTGAGAATGACCTTATACTTCATCCCCCCACTGTCCTCATGGTGTCCTAAAAGGGGCTGATGGGAATGTCATTAGCTCTGGAGTTGTCTGGTTATAAAGCAAAAGTCCAAGTATGGAGGTTGTTGAGGTGGACGGGTGGACCAGAAACTGGACTTTTGCCCACGGGACTGGTGTTTGTTTACTGTGTGAAACAATATGTTAACACTGAATGTATTTAGTAAAGCTCCTTATATTACATTTTTAACCATAACACTGAGATTTTCCTAACCCTAACCAAGTAATTTTTCCTGCCTAAACCTAACCAAACTGAGATGTTTTACAATGTTAACCACTAGTTTTGCATATTTATTGTCCCTACAAATCCAAAAATGACGCTAAAGGGGTACCACGTTCGTTAAAAGTGACACTATGGGGTCTTGACCAAGCATCCATATGTGACGAGTTGGGAGAATGTGTCGGCCTTCTCCCACATGAAATCATTAAAGTTCAGCACCACATTGACATAAGCATCTACCTACTAATGCCAAAGATTCTGTCAAGGTCATCTTCCCCTTTTCTTAAATGGAAAACGTGCATGAAAACGCACATCCTCTGTATAACTGTAACTTCGAAGTAACTTAGCATGACACAGAGACAGAGATTTTGTCAATTGTGTGAGGTTTATTAAAAATTTTAAAAGTAGTAAATAAAAAATTAAAGATGTTGCCCGGTTAAAAAACATTTGAACTAAACAAAACTCAAACCAGAACCTTCAGCTTTCATTTGGACCAAAAACATGGCAACAGCTTTGTCCATTTGTCCAGGGGTCTGTATCATGAATCTAGTTCACCTTGTCTTTCTCTGAGTGATCAGGCTTCACTAAACGTGGCAGAGTTAATCCTGATAATTGCTCTCACACAGCTGCTTACAGTCTAAGATTAGAAGAGTTTAAAGTGAGACTGTCGCTGCTGCTTAAGTCTGAGATCCTGAGTTCAACGTCATCTACAAGTCAAACTAGAACATGAGGAGTTCCGCAGGGAAGTGTTCTGGGTCCTTTGCTGTTTGCTGATGACTCAAACATTTTAGCTTCATTAAGAACCAGAACACACTGAATACACTGGATCAGCTCAGAAGTGATGCTCTGTGGTGACAGCAGTGATGACATCATCATAGTCCTCATCCAATCCCTCCTCAGCCTGGGTAGATGGGGTTATCAAAATGGAGACTGGCAGGTCTGCACTGCACTCTGTAGTCAGAGCAGGTTAGAAAGAAAATGTAGATTCATATAGCTGAAGATAATTCATCTGTTAGAAACAACTGTCAATTGCCAACACCAGTGACAGTGTGAGACTGACTGACTGAAAGTTCAGTGAATGATTCAGTGTTACCTGCGGCCCTGTGGCGATATAAAGACACCATGAGGACAGTGGAGATGCAGTACGGACAGAACACCACCAGGTGGTGTACCAATCTGAACACAAGCTGGAAGGGGGCTGAGGCAGGGGGTGTTGGAGGAGGCGGGGTTGTCGGGGTGGGCAGAGCTGAGGTTGTAGGTTTACCTGTAGAGAGAATCCACCTGGTCAGGTGAATCTCTGGATGAAATAAGTCCTGAAATCAAAGGTAACCTCCTCACCTGTGACAGAGATCCAGCTGGATGGAGACTCTCCACGACCGCTGATGTTACACTTGTAGAGGCCTTCATCAGACTTGTTAACATGGTGGATGGTCATGTGACCTGTAGGCTCAGTCCTGATGAGGGAGCCATCTTTATAGAAACCAGCTGGGAGGTTGGAGGGAGGGGTCTCTGTTTTACAGTGCAGAGTGACATCATGTCCCTCCATCACAGGGAGGACAGGACTCTGCAGGATCACTGGTCCACCTCAACACAGAGACAAACTACAGCATTTCATCATTTACACACAGCTTCATCAACACTAACTCCACAGTCTGATCTTACCAGTGACAGTGATGCTGATGGTGTTACTGGTTGCTCCCTCTCTGGACTCACACCAGTAAACTCCACTGTGCCCCGGGAGGATGTAGGTGATGTTACAGGAAGGACCAGCTGATCTTCCGCAGTCAGCTCCACACTGAGTCCTGGTTCCTCTGGTTGTGTTCCTCCTCAGCGTCCATCCAGCAGAGCTGTCGTCCTCCTCACAGCTCAGAGAGACAAACTCTCCCTCAAACAGCTGAGAGCTGCTGGGACTCACAGTCAGAGAGGCTGGAGGAAGAGACAGAAAGATGTGGTTAGAGAGATGATTTTCTCCACATTCATAATATTCCTACTTTCTCACAGTCACTTCTTCACTGCTGAACTGATCTCTGTTTGATTCAGATGCTGAGTTTCAAAAAAGAAATCTGAATCAAACTAAGATATGAGCTCAAATTTAACTCTCAACGTTGCTGTTCAACACAGCAGAAGATCTTGCTACAAGTAATTCCCCCCCCCCAGTCTTTCATGGCTGCTGCATCATGCTGTGCAGCCCTGGTTTCTGAATTACATTTTTATAGCAGCAGTTTTACCTTTGGCTCCAGCATGCAACACTGTGGTATCAAAGCTACATTCAGTGTTTTATTGTACTTGTAAAGTGGCTGTTTCCCTCCCCAAACACTGTCCTAAACACTAACTGTTCTATCAGGAAGTGAATAACTTTTCAGCTGTGACAGAAGAAGTTTTCTCACCTTGATTTGTTGTGCAGCTCAGCAGTGAGGTCAGAACTAAAGAGAAATCAGGTTGGTTTGAGGTTTTACATGCAACAAGACATCTAGACTTTCTACAAAAAAGAAAAACAGCCAGACATTGATATCAGATATGGAAATAACATATATTTATTTAAAGACAAACTCAGTGTTCAAATGTGCCCCCATACATGCACCATAAACATGTAATTAAGACACATCTGGATTAAACCGAATTTCTAACTGTTGGATTAAATGAATAATTCATGTGAATGATTGACAAATTGAGTGGTTGGTAATTTTCACACATTTATTTATTTGTGTTTAATTTCCAACAAATTATTCTTTTGTAGCACTTCAGTATAGTAAAGACATTTTTGTTTAAAACTTTTCTACATGTTTTGTTCTATTTTATGATATATTGTAATAATTTAAAAAACTATGAATGGTTAACAAAAATGAACACTTGCTGCAATTCATGTGTTATCGTGTATTGTATCAGTGATTGCTGATATTCCTGCTCTTTTGTCGTAGCAAATATATATATAACTTGTTGCTTCTCTCAAAAACACCCAAAATGTTTTAGACCTAATCATTGAGACACCGTGGAGACAAACATTCACACATTCAGTACATTTTTACTTACCTAGCAACCAGGGTAAAGATGATTCCTCCATTTTAAATCTTAGTCGTCTGAGATCAACACATTACTGTTCACCCGTCACACCAAGTAAAACCCACCTCCTTTCTCTCACTGGTAATGTTGTGGGTTTCTCTCAAGCAGTTAGGCAGGAAATGACCTTAATGAATAATCTCAACAAGTCTCAAATTGAATAACTGACAGGTTGTGCACAATCAAGGGCATCACTTTGTGTTGAGAAGAGGTGGCGATATAATGGCTCAGATTAGGGGTGTGATGATACATTTAATTCATGAGATGTGACAATGCACAATATTGGGGTCACAAGAACAAGAGAGATGATATTTTAACATTATTTTGACAAAATATTCAATGCTTAAATATATTATCGGGAGTCAGAAGATTCTGACCATTAATCGCATAATGAGACTTTTTCTGCAGCAATTTATAGAAATGACTTTATTTAAATAAAGGGAAACACAATCCAGGTGGCACGTGATAATTCTAAATCTAAATATATCATGGATCATAATGCAGCAATCTGAAGATTGTTTTCTTTTAGCTTAAAGAGGTGGTATTATGCTTTTTGGCTTTTCCCCTCTCCTTTAGTGAGTTATATACCTTTTTTATGCATGTAATAGATTTGCAAAGTGAAAAAGCCCGAAGTCCAGCCCAAAGGGAGTTCCCATCTCCCACAGAAAACACTGCACAGAACTGCTTGAAAACAGCTCGTTTGTAGTCCAGCCGTTTCTCTTTGAAAATGCGCCTCATAACGCTCCCCAAGCGACTAGTCTGACACGCCCTCAAAAACACAGGTGGAAAAACACTGAGCTGCAGCACACACCTCTCCTCTCCCTTCCAAACACTAGCTATCCTCCGGGCAGACAATGGACAGAAAGTTGTTACTGTTTGATGTCTGATGTAGAGACAGAGCTCAGTTAAAACTTTATGGATGAAAGAAACTTTTGTTACAGATTAATAACTTACCACTTTGAAACTCTTGCTCCAGTCCATGTTGCCAAGCTGGTTGGCATATAGCCTACAGCTGAACAAAGCTGTTTACCAGCTTCTCACTGGCCCGCCCTTCTCTGGTTCTGATTGGCTAATAGTCCTTAACTAGGAACCCCACATTTGCAACTCCCTACAAAGATCATTTAGACACATCACTCAGCTAAAGTGAAGCCTTCAACACAGGCTGAAAAGATGATCTTCGTATGCAGTATGACAAAAAATATGGTGTTTTATGAAAATTAAACCATGTAAACCTATTCTGGTAAAACCCTAAATAGGATTTTGAATCTGAAAATGAGCATAATACCACCTCTTCAAGTTATTTTGGAGATGTTAACGATTCTACTTTGCACTTGAAAAGCAGCAGCAGCAGACTGGTCTCGTGATTGATCGGTATTGGTCACCCTTTGTCTTAATAATACAGGCTTGGGTAAAACTCAGTAATAATAATGTAGCCTAAAGTTATGTATAATCATTTCAATGAAAAACAATTCAATTTTATTTAAATGGCGCCTATTCACAACAATAGTTATCTCATAGCGCTTGCCATATAGAGCAGGTCAAGACCGTAATCTGTGATAGTATTTACAGGAACTCAACAATTCCCACCATGAACAAACACAATCCTGTTCCAGACTCCAGAGCTCCAGAGGCAGAAACACCTGCAGAAAGTGATAGAAGGAGAGAGGAGAGTGACGAGACAAGACCGGGAAAGGGAAGAAGTCGAGTTAGTAGGAAGAGAGAGGAGCTCAGTGCCCTCTACTCTAGGCCTATAGCAGCATGACTAAGGGATGGTTCAGGACTCACCTGAGCCAGCCCTAACTATAAGCTTTATCAAAGAGGAAAGTCTTAAGCCTACTCTTAAATGTGGAGATGGTGTCTGCCTCCTGAACCCAAACTGGAACCTGGTTCCACAGGAGAGGAGCTTGATAGCTGAACGCTCTGGCTCCTAGTCTACTTTTGGAGACTCTAGGAACCACAAGTAACCCTGCATTCTGGGAGCGCAGTGCTCTGGTGGGGCAGTAAGGTACTATGAGCTCTTTAAGATAAGATGGTGCCTGACCATTAAGAGCTTTGTAGGTATCCTTCCCTGCTATCCCTGTCAGTTTTGTGTTTGTGTGCGTGTGTGTGGGCGTGTCTGGTTCTGGCTCCTCGCTCATCACCATCTGCAGCGTCCCGCACCTGTGGCTCCTCAGTATTCAACCCATGCAGTGAAATATCCTGGTTCATCTGCCACTCCTTGCCAGTTCGTTAGTTTACAACCCGTGGTATTGTTGCTCAGGCCAACTCTCAGAGCTTAAATCTAGTGAACTTTTTGCAATCTGTTCTGCTTTTCTCTGTGCACTTGAAAATAAATCCTGCTGGGAACACAATCAATCCATCCGGACCCTCATGAACTACAGACAAGGTATCAATGAGCAGATTGATTGCCTCACGGACCAAATAACCGTATTAATCTAATTAGTGTCTTCTACACAGCCATCTCCAGTTAACCCTGCTTCCCAGCCACCTGTTCCTACTGGATCCTACGCTTTTTGTGTAGTGTTTTTTTGCTTCAATGAGCCATGGTGTTCACCCAACGCCCGCTGACCTTTGCTTCTGATCCTGCTGAGGTACGTTACATTCTGGGGCTACTAAGAGGGATAGCGCTAGCCTGCGCTGAAGCAGTTAACATAAACATCCCTATTACTACCCTGTCATTGGTTCAGTTTGTGGCCATGCTTCATGAGGTTTTGACCACCCCAACCACAGTGGTGACGCATCTAGATGTTTGTTAGAACTCCAGAAAGGAGCCTCTACAGTTGCCAACTACTTGGTGGAGTTTAGAACACTGCCTGAAGACGCAGGTTGGAACAATGCAGCACTTCAGGGTATGTTCAGAAAGGGGCTTAATGAAAGGAAAAAGGACAAGTTAGCTTCAGTTTAAATTCACTGATTTCCTTGTCCATTGTGCTCGACAACCGCCTGCGGGAGTGGCGGAAGGAGCATGCTAACTTGTCATCTGAGCCCATGCAGTTGGGCCAGGCCCGCCTGTCCCTGGAGTAACGTTTCTGCTGACAAAGCTCGGGTGAGTGCCTCCATTGTGGCATTAAGGTTGACTTTATTGCCTCATGCCTAACACGGCCCACACCGGCAGAGCTCCAGAATATGCAACGCGGCCGCCTTGCGCCCCGACGCGCTACACGTGCGAGGGCCCACCCAACGCTGCTTGCAGCTTTAATTAGGGCCTGAGCACGAACCGTGCGAGGTCCCTATTGAAATTGTAAAGATTTCTTTTTTCATTTTTCTGCAAAGTAAGCTCAGTTTTGGGGGCCTAAACATACTTGAAAACTCACCAAACTTTGCACACATGTCAGAGGTGGTGAAAAATTTTGTATTTTATGGGTTTCGCGCATGGGCGTGGCAAAATGACTCACTAGCACCACCTAGAAAATTGGAGAAAATTAGCCCCTCGTCCAGGTTCAACCTACATGCACAAAATTTTCTGGGGACATGTATCATATGAATCATAACAGGAAGAGATGCGTCAGTGTACAGAGACTTGGTACAGAAGCTGTCAGAGAGGTGTTCTACTAACAACCTGGCTTTAAACACCAGCATCAGCACAAGCGACTGCACTTTTTGAGAGTGCTAAGCAGAAACAATCTAAAGGAGAAGCTGCTGCTTCACAGTCTGGTATGAAGGCTGCTCAGCGGTGAACAGGAGATCTCTGCAGAGTGTGTTACAAAAAACAGTCAAAAAGTCATTGGTTGCCCTCTGCCCTCACAGGAAGACTTCTCCAACCTCCCGGGGTCTCAGCAGGGCCAGGAAAAAAACTAAGGATTCCTACTTTCTTGGTTACCACCTTTTCAATCTTCCGGCAAAGGGTGTATCAAGAGTTACACAGACTTAAGAAGTGTTTCTTTCTCTGGACCAACATAACTCTAAATACCACAAACTTTTAGAGCACTTAACCACAGTTTCTACTGAGCATTTTAAAGATAAATAACCACCCAGCAGAGCACCTCTAATTTCTTTTCAATTATTTATCTTGTTTGTTACTTTCCAGTGGAAAATCATTTTATGTGCATTTTCTCAAGTGCAATATTATTAAGTGCAATATTCTTTTTTGTACACAAACAATAAAGGCTTTCTAATTCTAATTTTCTTCATGGGAAAGGACCGCACACTCACACCACACACTGACTTTAGGTGACAAGTATCTTACCTCTCATGACCTTTGCCTGTAACTCTCTCCAGGGCACCACTCTGTTCTCCAAGCTCGACCTGTGCAATGCCAATCACTTGGTCCGGATCAAGGAGGGTAATGAATAGAAGACGGCCTTTAACACTCCTTTAGGCCATTTCAAGAATTTGTTCATGCCATTGGACTCACCAATGCCCCGGAAGTGTTTAACCCCATGACGCTGATTGTCGCAAATTCGCATCACACCTCTTCCTTTCAGACAGCAAGCCAAGATAACACATGGATTCCCCCGATGCCTGTTTGTGCATATTCGATACATACCTAGGAACCTTTTGCAGGCCCTGGTTTCTTGTTTATGCCTGTTGTCGCTAATTTGCATCATACCTACATCATATCTGAATTTATTTCTTTTTATGTTCTATAGAAACCACAAATAATTTAAAAAAAATTTTATTGTAAAAAAAATTCAAGCATCAAAGAGTTAAGGGCATGGTCACATGTTGGATCGTTGTGTTTACCTTGACAATATTGATCTTTTCCAGTGATCCAGCAGATCATGTTCACCATGACTTCCAAGTTATTCCACTGATCACCTGAGGCCAGGAAAGAAATCAGTGAGTTAAGGAAACGATTCACTGAAGCCCTAATCCTGGCATGGCAGTAATAGCTGGAGGGAGCATATCAGCCCTTTGTAGTTTGGACGGACTACAAGAATTTGGATAACATTCTCTCCGCTAGACAACTGAACTCTTGCCAAGCCAGGTGGGCGCTGTTTTTTTGGTTGTTTTCACATCACACTGACCTTTATTTGACGCTTTTATCCAAAGCTATTTACAATT